CAGGTCTCCTTTTCTGTCTATGACAGGTACTTAAAATGACTGATATTAATGTATAATTGATAATTTTCAAAAGTGAATGGTCTGATGAGGGTTCATAATAAGAATAATGCAACAGACAAAAAAAGTTCATTGTTTCTGTGGCAAACAAAACAAAGATAATAAATCTACTCTAAAAAAAATTAGACAAAAGATCTCTAAAGCTAATGATTAAACCTATTTTAAAAGAAGTCAGTGAATGCTATGTCTGACTAAAAAAATGGATGAAAATATTTTATAAAGGAAAAATTCTTGATTTATGACCTAAAATAATCCTGAGGCATGATTCCTTACACTAAAAAATTCAAGTAAACAGATTTAGTATGTCTACACTAAGACCTAGCTGTGTTTTTTAAAACTTCATGGCTAATTCTCAGTTCTCCTCCATTGAGAAACCCTGGCTTAGAAGATGCTAGATACAAATTAAAGAAGAAAGTTAATGGCCAATAGATGTTTTAAATAACAGCTAAAATTATGACTGATAACACTATACTATTATTATCTAATATCATCAGGCAAAGCACTGTCAGTACTCGGATAAATATAGGAAAAGCTGATGGAAGTATTTCCTAAGAGTTGCAATTAGTGTTTGCCCTGAGTGTAAACACACATTTATAAGACAGTAAGGGCAATGACAAAACTCCAAGGACTTCCCATAAAATATCAATTTCTGGAATATTTATCTTAATACCATACCTACACAAATTTAACCTAGATAAGGCTGAACTTCTTTTCTGATCTGGCAACTTTTCCAATGGAATTCTACAAACAAACCTAATTATTTCTAGCACCTCTTTTCAAAAGTGAAAGAATAAATCTTTGTCATTTTTCCAGGGCCCTCTGGGAAATCTCAAAGACAGTTTTAGGTGTAGACCATATCTTGAAATATTAATTTAATTTTTCTCTATATTTAAGATAAAATTATGGAAACGCAAAAATTAAAAGTTTGCAGAGGATATTTAGAAACAATTAAGATGGGATCATGGTGCCAAAGAAATAATACTCATTTAACTACTTAAATGATCACTTATTTAATTAAATAAAATATTTAAAAACAAGCATAAATGATTATAAAGACCCTTAGCTCTTTTGTAAGTGAGGAATCTTTGTTCTTTGCTTTCTTTTGTGGTTTTCTTATTCATTAAATAATCTAGGATATAATAAATCAACATAAAGCTCAGATAATTATTCTTGTAAGAGACAGATTCCAAAATCCAGGCAGATTACACAGAAGGTTTAAAAAATTTCCTTTCATATAATAAGCAAAGGAATTTATCAATAAACCAACAAATCAAACCCATCAAGATTGGGCAAACATCACTAAAGTTTAAGCACATTTCATAGCTTTCTTTCAGAGTCAAGCACTATAAAGCAAGGCCAATTAATTTCCCTTCCAAATTTTGTCCTTCATTTTGCTTTTTCATATCACAGTAGTACTCAGAGATCCAGGGAATAAAAACAATTTTCATATTAATATGAAGATGTTATTTCTGTTAACATGCAATGCATTAATCATTATTATAGTCAAATGAATCAATAAGTAGCTATTTTTAAATTTCTCAGTGTCAACTTAAAATATAGTAAATATTCATGGTTATAAACCACATACACAGAACTTCTTTGGGGTCCTCAGTAAGTCCCAAGACTGTACAGTGGTCCTGAGATGGAGAAAAAAACAAAAACTGAAAATCACTTTCTTCTTGAAACGCAAAAATACACAAACAGTGGGATCATTCTGTCCCTGCTGTTCCAAGTGTAGTTTCACCATACATATTAATTATAACTTTTAACCAGTTTCTATTTCGTAGAGAAAGCTGGAGATAGATAATTGAGAACTGTCTTTCACAAGCATTTTAAAAGACTATCAAAGCTCACAATGCAACAACCGTGTACATTCCCTTTATATCTTTGTAAAGAGACAAAATGAATACGTTAGTTACTATAACCCAAAGATATGAACTTTCCACAGGAGGTGAGCAAAAGTACTTAAAATTATGCCTAATAATTAATTAAAGCCATTGACGTTGAGTTGATTCAGACTCATAGCAATCCTGTATGATAGAGTGGAACTGCCTCGTGGGGTTTCCAAGGAGGCTGGCGGATTCAAACTGCTGATCTTTTGATTAGCAGCTCTTAACCACTGGGCCACCAGAGCTCCAATAACCAATTAGGCATTAAAATTTCAGTATTCTATCCTAGTAAGAAATTATCAATAGATCAAATGAGTATTTATTATATAACTAAACTTAATGTCAGTCTAAGGTTTTATGTTACCTAAAGATCTTGGGAATTATATTTAAGCTGACTAAATTTAATTTACTAAAAAACACAGTTACTATTGAAATAAAGTTGTCAGCATAATGATTCAGTTTAGTTGAATACAAATTTACATTTTTCATTACCTTAAATATTTTGTAGGAGTAATGTTAATTTATCAATAAATTAAGTTTAAATTTAAGAAAACCAAGAAAAAAGTTTAAGAAAAACTTATAAGTTTAAGAAAAAAAAATCCAAGTATAATAAAATATACTCTTATACCTAAAACTGATAAATTAGAGAAGACATAGCTGTTTGTACTAAACCAAAATTATTACACTATTCTCAGTTACTGAAGATTTACTTTAATTGCATGGACTTACATCTTCAAAATGTTTCTGAGTTTCTGTAAGAATAACTTTAATTATAGCACATTTAAAGTATCATAACTTTGATTTTCTTATTTTCTTGGAATTTTATTAATACTTCATTTATAAAAGAACATATTTGCCTCCAGAGGCCAATCACATGAGAGTTCCTTTAATTTAGGAGATTTTTAAATCTCATTCATTAGTACAACAAGAAGTAAAAACCTGTGAAATAAGCCTATAGATACACAAACACAGAGAGAGCTTTGTATGTAAACATCAGCCACATGTCAAAAATTTAAACACAGAATCACAAAAAAAAAACAACTCACCAGTCCATATAGCAAAGAGCTGTTCTCCTTCCTGGTGGGCACAAACTTCTTAATTTGATCTCAAAATAGACAAATATACAAAGAAAATTACCAACAAACCACATTCACTGTAGTCTCTCACCCAACTCAAAATAAATCTAATCCATTTACAGATATCAGCAAATGGTTAGGCCATAAAACCAACTTCCTAAACAGCTGTTACTACTAGGGAGTAATTTATTGTTTATAAAAGTACTAGAAACAAGACTAAAAAAAAAAGCAAAAAGATAAATATGTGAAGAAATAGGGAATCAGCAAAGCTAAAGTTCTATTGCTACTTGGAATTTATCACTTTTCGCAAAGAAAAGACCTTGGGCTTAAGCCTCCCATGAGGCGCAAGCCTTCAACAATGCAGATTACTCAGCTCTCAGGTGACTCCATTGGCTATTGCACTGAAACCTCTAAAATGTTTACAATTTTTTTCAAAAAGGCATATCCATGACTCTCACACAGACATAAAATGTATGTTTCTCTTTAAAGACACCTTGTTTAATATATATTGTTGGCTCGCTAGCATTGAGCTTACTCATGGCCAAAAGCACTATAAAGCATGCTTATCTAACACATGTATTTGTTTCCTAAGGTACATCATAGCAGCCCTCGTGGTGCAGTGGTTAAAGCACTCAGCTGCTAACTGAAAGGTCGAACCTACCACCTCTTGAGGAAGAAGGATATGGCAGTCTGCTTCCTTAAAGATTTATAGCCTTGGAAACCTATGGGGCAGTTCTCCTCATCCTATAGGGTTGATATGAGTCAGAATCTACTCCACGGCAGTGGGGTTTTTTTTTTTTTTTTTTCTGATTAAGGCACATCATAGCCTTTTTACGCGTAGGAACACTTGGATAGCAGCACTTCAGTACTACATTTCGAGGCTGTTTTAAATAGTGAAGTCACTAACAAAAAGCACAAGTATGAGAGAAACGTGGCAAAAAGAACACTTGTTTACATTGTGAGAGCTGAAACAAGAAGGCAGAACTTCACTTTGTTCAACCTCAGCTGCAAACATGTTCATCAGGAGACTTAAATATGTTACTGCTTTGTACATGTCTGCAAAGTTCATGAAAACTGGGTTACAAATAAATTTTAGCAAATAGACAAATTCATAAATATGGAATCTGCAAATAGATGTTTTCTAATTCTTTTAGCATCTTTGTTCTTCTCTGTTTGAGAATTGTTGTTGAGTGCCTTTTAGTCAATTCCTACCAATAGCAACGCCATATGGCAGGGTAGAACTGCCGCATAGGGTTTTCTTGGCTATAATCTTTACTAGAGCAGATCACTAGGTCTTTCTCCCACGGAGCCACTGGATGGGTTTGAACCACCAACCTTTCAGTTAGCAGCCCAGTGCTTAACAGTTGTGTGACAAAATTTCTTTCTTCTCTCCTTATCTGCACCTCATTAGCAAATCGTTGCTTCCATAGGCCCTCCCTAAGATCCTGCAAATATGAGAGACTGTCCTGAAAAAAGGTAAAAGAACTAAATCCCTTCGCACAGATTGTAATTTGGAAAAGAAAAAAACAGAACAGGTAGCTCTGAAACGGGTAAAAATCTCTTCGTGAAGCCCTCCATGAACAGACAGGAACTTCCACTAGTCTGACCCAGTTCCAAACTTGTGATACATTTCTATCTGACAAATTTGAAATCAAGATAGAATTCTTTTTCACGTCTTACCCCGTAATTACCCCTGGGAATTCTGCAAAGGTGGTGACTCATGTGGGTTAGTAGAGTCTAGACAAGCAATGAGCCCAGGTGCTGCTTTGATCCTAGATATTTTCAGTCATGCCACCGCCCAGAGCCTAAAAGCTCCTAATTAGAATCATCACTACCCCAGAGAAAACCTCCTAACTACCTCCATGACCTCAGCCTTTTTTGTTGAGTTTCCTACAATATTGAAGCAAAAAGAAAATTCATTTAATGTCAATTATTTGCATGGACTTGGCTGATTAACAATGTAATTTATGTCTTTTAGACTCCACCAGGTGACAACTCTACTAGAATGTCTATCCAAACAGACCTCTACATGCAAGTTGTCATTTTTGACCACATTTCCAGAAGAAAGGTCTAACTGTCAACATGTCAGATGGTTCCCTGATTGTTTGGTAAATTTAAATGCATCCAGTCTCCAGTCACCCGAAACAAATTAGAATAATAAATGAGTCCCGTAGCTGGAAGGCTAATTAAAATAATAAAAGTTAACAAAGAAATTAGAAAGAAAACCGTTATCTTGACTGTCTTTTTATCATACAGATAGCTTCTTAATCTCAGTTGAGGTTTTTATTTTTTATTTTTTCCAGAACACTGAGGCAGATGGCAATAGTTCATGGGAGAAAAATCTTGTTGCTACTTCAAAGATACAGTAATCAGTATCATATTTCATAGCTCAGGTTTTCCAAAACAATAATGTTCCAGGTTCTACTATTGTCAAATCTAGGGACCAAACCTGATGTCATGTGGCAGCGCTATCTCCTAAAATAGATACCAAACCAGTTGCCGTTGAGTCAATTAAACTCACGGTGACTCCATGTTGGTCAGAGTAGAACTCTGTTCCACACAGTTTTCGATGGCTGAAAACCGTGAAGTAGATCACCAGGCCTTTCTTCTGAAGTGCCTGTGGGTGGACTTGAACCTCCAACCTTTTGGTTAGCAGCTCAGCATATTATCTATTTGCACCACCCAGAAACTTCAATATCATTGATGTTATTGTTGTTAGGTGCCTTCAAGTTGGTTCCAACCCATAGCAACCCCATGTATAACAGATCAAAACGTTGCCTGGTCCTGCACCATCCTCACAATTGTTGCTATGCTTGAGTCCATTGTTACAGCCACTGTGTCAATCCTACTCATTGGGAATTTTCCTCTTTTTCACTGACCCTCTACTTTACCAAGCATGATGTCCTTCTCCAAGGATTGGTCCTTGCTGATAACATGTCCAAAGTAAGCAAGATGAAGTTTCACCATCCTCACTTCTAAGGAACATTCTGGCTGTAAATCATTGAAAATGTACCCCAAATTAGAGGACAAGCAAAAGGAAATATAAATACAAGCTTTTCAAAAGTTACTAAATGAGTAAATAAATTCTGAAATATCCCATGAGATAATGTATAAAACAAATGGAAATGTTTAATATATGTAAGTGCCTGGACAATATGAACACTATGACAGTAAAATTGAAGACATGAATTCTAAAGGAAACTAAAAGATTTTAGATAAACTTATCCCTGCAGGTGGCTTTTGTGCAGAAAAGAGATTATTCAGAGGCTAAGCTCTGGTGGCACAATGGTTAAGTACTAGGCTGCTAACTGAGTGGTTAGCAGTTCAAAATCACCAGCTGCTCAGCAGGAAAAAGACCTGGCAATCTGCTCCTATAAAGACTACGGCCTAGGAAACCCTATGGGGCAGTTCTACTCTGTCATTTAAGGTCACTGTGAATCAGAATCGACCCAATGGTATTCAACAACGAAAACAACTTAGCATTTAAAATTAATGTTTGGTTCTTCCCCTTCCCCATCCCATTCCCTTCTTTTCCCTTTTTAAACAATCTAGTATAAAACAGTTAGGTAGAGCCAAGCAAGGCAGACATCTGCTCAGTGTGGGCTGCAGGAGAAGCAGAGCCCAAAGAAGGGGTCAGAGTTCAAATGCGGAGAGGAAGGTATATTCATGTGGGAGGTGGTGACCTAGCACCAGGTGCCAGAGCCCAAGCAGGGTGAGTGGAGTAGTGTTAAATTGGAGATGGATGCATTGATGTGGATTCATAGTTTTTGACACATAGAAATAGATACAGAACTACAGATGTTAATGTGTGTGTCCATACATATCCCCTTATTCTGTCTACTGAGACAGCCTAGGAGCAACAATACCCAAACAGCAATGAATAGTTGTAGTACTCAGATCTTTGTTTCCAAATATCATTTTTCACCACGAGGAACAAGGGATCCGCTAAGAAATGACTGATTCCAGGTCTAAGGAAGGGAAAATACAAAAGTAAAAGCATCTTTTTGAGCCAGAAAGCAAAGAAATTCTCAAAGAATGATGTTAGTTACGTTCTATAAAGTCACCGTGAACACCGAACTAACAAATACTAACCCATTGCTCCTAGGTGAAACAGAGGGTTAGGTTCCTGCAAGCCTCTGGTGACAACATTTTCGCAAACTAATCATTACATAACCTTGCTTGGCTCTGTGTCAAAAGCACATAGAATCCAGCTTGAAGGTGTTCCCACTGACAAATCCGGGACAGTTTGGTCAACAAAGTAAATAATGATAATGACAGGAATAAAACAAAAAACCATGAGTCCATACTGATGCATATAAAAGAATAAATTGAAAATTTGATGAGGAACAGGATATTTACATATCTCCCCACCAACATAGCTATTAATTACAGAGGTACACTGGGGAAGCCTGGCAGATACCACATTAAAAAAGAATATGATCAGTAATGAGGCAAACTGAAATATGCCTCACCCTATAAAATACAACAGAGGAACACAGCATCACTTTTATGAGAATCCTGCCAAACTTGCATAAATTGAGTCTAATCACGAGAAAAGTCAGACAAATTCTGAGGGGGACATTACACAGTATAATTGACCAGTAATCTTCAAAAGTCAAGGTCATGAAAGTGAAGGGAAGACTAAGGAACTGTCCCAGACTGAAGGAGACTAAAGAGATATAATAACTAAATGCTATACATGATTCTGAGTTGGATCCTTATGCTACAAAAGGCATTATGGGGAAAAAAGGTGAAGATAAGATAGTAGTAATATAAAAATGTTTATTTCCCCATTGTGGTGATTATATTGTGGTGATATAAGAGAATGTCCTTGTTTATAGGAAATTACAGTAAAGCATCTGGGAATCAAGGGACATCAGGTTGGCAAATTATTCATAAATATTTCTGGGACGAAGAAGTCTTTGTACTGACTTGCAACTTTTCTGTAACTCTGAAATTGTTTAGAAATAAAATAAGTATTTGATTTATTAAGTTTATAAATTTGATATCCTAGTTCCACAAACTTTAAATAAAATGTATAGATTTTATTATTTTGTACATAGATTTAACCAAACTTTAATAATCACTTTTACAGGCTCTTCTGTATTTTAATTAATTAAGTCCCTTTAAACATTTTAAATTTCATTTATAAACTTGAATATATTCAATTTTCTAAATAGTTCACATTTCCAACTAACAAATAAGCCTTCCCATACATGTAAATAACTCTTGTTATACTAATAAATTTATAAATATAATAACTCTTAAATTACCTTAAATGTTTCAATGTTTTACAAAACTTTCTTAATAACTGTCAACATAAAATCATAAGTCTGAATCAATTAATCAATTTTTCATTTTAAATTGGAATTGTAAGGCTTATCTGTTAGATTTATTTATCTTCTACTATACCAGCTTCTCTTTTCTATAACTATTTTATATCTTTTAGTACAAATATTTAAAATAATCAATACATTTACAGATTATTCCTAAAATTAATGAGGTTTTCCATTTAAGAATCAATTATATCATCATAGCGTTTTTAAATTACTGATTTACTGATAATAAATATTGACTGGATAGGTTATGGAATGTGGAGATACAAACATGCAGGACATCGTTTTCATGATCAGACTTTTTTGGCCAATGTTAAGCCAAGTCTAGGCCTCTGAGGATTCCAAGATCATGTCTTTCAAGTGAGAGTAGTCTTGCTGTCCAAGAACCCTATATTCAGATTTCATATTTCTTTATTTTTTAATTTGATTTTAGCTTGTTTTGTTTTTTTTTTTTGCAACACACACCCAGGTTGATTGATATTCTATGAATTCACTTACTGTCTCATTCCATTTCTGAATTATTTTCATATTCTCCCTATCAGCAGAGTCATAACTCCTATAAATATTTAAATGACATCTGATTGTATTCAATGGATGTCTCAAATCTTGCCTTGCCTTTTAATCACAGTTCTAAGATCACATTAATGCAACTATAGAAGATTTGGAATTTCCCTTCATGGAAGCTCATTAAGGTGACTTTCACGCTATAAAAAAGGGAGAGCCATTGTCAGAGAAATGTCGTATCTGAGACCAGGATACATGAAGAAAGAAATTCTTGCCTGAAGACAACAGTTGAATGCAGGACCAAGGAAAGAAAGGACTATGCCACTTCAAGGGCTAAAAAGAGTGGTATGTGACCCAGCAAAAACAACAGTGGGCCAAAGAGACGGGCCCAAAGCATCAGCTAGCCAACAGAAAGGAAATGAAACAAGAAATTAGGCAACGCAGTAAAGGCATTAAGAACCAGATTTTGTGGCAAGCTGAAGTTTCTCGTTAGCCAAATCACTTTCTCTCTCCAGATTTTGGCCCTTGAAAGATCCCTTCCGAGTCCGAAAATCTATGATTTCTACTTACAGTTTTTCTGATCTATTTATAGACTCCTTAAGTTTAAGAAAATAGATGTGCAATTTAAATGTAATTTTCTGCAATCGTTTGATATTTTAGGTGTATTATTCAGGACTCTGGTTGCAAGTGAGAGAAATCACATTTGAACTTTTATTAAGAAACACAGTGGTACCTCAAAGAACTCAAAGAAAGGAATATGTCTACATCTCAGGAATAATCGTAATCAAAGACTTAAACTCTCTATTTACTCATGTCTGTATTCCTTGTTCCTTTCTGTGCAGCATTATTTTCTCTTCTGCAAAACAGCCTCTCTGCTTCTCCAGTATCTCTTCTCCTTGCTCTTCCTGCTCTCGTTTTCTCCCTCCCACAAGTCTAGAATCCTCGAAAAGGTACTAGACTCAACTCCAATCAGGGGTCCAGCCTTCTTCACCAAAATCTAAAGTGGCCAGACTGGGCAGAATTCTGTTGCCCCAAATTACAGCAACTGTGAGAACCTTGGGGATGGATGAGAAGTCTCATAAAAGTGGGTGATTCTGTGACAAAACAGCTCACCCAGTTCAATGGAGTGGGAAAGGGGTGTTGGAGAGTGAAAGGGGAAAAGTTTGGGGTCCTCAGTCTTTGGAGCAGCCATTCATTCTTGCTCTTTTTACCAGTGATATAAACAGAAAGAAAATCAACAGTGGTAAAGTGACTGGATGAGTCTTCTCTTTGTGTACTTCCTATTTTATAATAGAATTTACTACAGATAAGCAACCATATAGTCAAAAATCCCCTGCTATCTGACCAGCCTCTTCAGTTTTACTGTATTGCATTTATTGTATTTTACTGTGTTGCAATATAATTTAGAACAGTAGATACCCGTCAATATTTTAATCTCAAGGCAATTAAAAGGGAATATCTACTCATTCATTTACGGAGGGCCCACTGTGAGCCTGATACTCCTCCAGGGACACAATAATGAATAACTGCTTTCCTCAAGAAATTCACCAGCTTGAAATAAAAGGAATCTAAGAGATCTTACGTTTTTATTGCTGTTGCTGTGACTGTTGCTATGTGAATGGATTCCTCCTCCCATTATATCTACTAATGTTGCTGTTGTTAGGTGTCGTGGAGTCAGTTCCGACTCATAGCG